ATAGAAGAAGTTGCTGGTGAGGACTCCAAATGGTCTAATTTAATTTGAACCCGGTCTGGGGATTTGGAGTGTGATGAAGAATGTTTAGTGGACATCTAACAACATCATCTGCTTCCAGTTATTTCCATATGAACCTGATCTCTTTCCTCTAAAGCAGTAGTTCCAAACCTTGGGTTAGCCGCCTGTTCTTGGACTGCAGTTCCCAGAAACCTTCACCACCAGCTGTTCTGCCTGGGGCTTTTGGGAGCTGCAGTCCAGAAAACCCTGGGTTACCCAAGGTTGGGAAAGTCTTTAGGGATGCTCATTGCACCTACCAAATCTTACCTAGTATTCTGTAAGCTGATGTTTTACCCACCCAATGTCTTCGTTTTTAGTACTAGTGGTTGGGCTGCACAGTACTTGGACCTCAGTTTTTATGCTTGAATATACAGTTTCCTTTCCCCCTTTGCCTTTCTGCAGTCCCAAATGTGATCTGTCCCTTGCTGTATTCCTTCTGCTTGATCAACCACACCTTCTCTCTGTCATTTAGTAGAACAGGCAGCAGGGGTCTGATTTGACTGTGCCAGGTTTCAGATGTTGTCCATAGAAGCTGTTTATGTAGAGATAAGTTCTCTAATTCTGACAGCGAACCAACTTATTTCTTCTGCTATGTGCCAGAGGAGGCGATGGTTTTATTGATGAATATGGAAAAAGTGAATAGTCCAGTGCTTTGTTCCATTCCTCTAATTTACGACATTGGTAATAATGGATGATGGATGAGATATCCAAACATTAATAAATAATCTTAAAAGGTGTACTAAATCAAAGAGGAAGAGACCAAGGAATAATCTCATATCATGTTTCAAGGAGGGTAAGGTAATTCTAGTGTCATTAATTCTGCTGCATTCAAGAAATAAACAAAAACCCATTTAAAGTAGATGCACTGTCAATAAGATAAGAGCTGTAGCACTATTGGCAGTTTTTCTTGCAAGTTACAGTACAACATTAACTGTTTTAAAGCAGTATCTCCACAAATTAAAAGTTTCAAGAGCCAGATGGTTGTTGCTGGGGAAAAAGCGATTATGTATTGGTGAAATATCACCTGCATGGCTGCTGTTGCCACTTGCTTAATACGTTAAAAGGAAAATGGCTGGACTTTTCTGCATATGCATTCAGTTCTATTTTAGTTAAGGCACTGAAAAACAATGACTAAAATCCTATTAGTGCAACTTGCTGTGGCCAGTTGTGACTAACTGACAGTTGACTGGATAGCATCTTAATTGCGTAATTGGACATGTGACCAAGCACATAATCAAGACACACACCATCCTTCTTGTCAATTTACCAAATTAATCAGAACACATTACACAAACTCTTACGTGAACACCAACAGGATTTGGGCCAACAGTGACGTGGCAGCCCTTGCTAAGGACAGAACTAGTGAAATAATCTGGAAAGCCCTCTGTCCAGTTTTGAAAGAACAACGACAAATGTTTTCTTTCCATCTGCAGGACTCCTTAGTGCTATAATCCTTTGTAATAAAAATATTGTGTGTTCCAAGAGATTTGAATCCTGTACATATCTACTCAGTGGATAAGCCTCTGTGAATTCAACATAGCTTACTTTAAGATTATTGCCTTGTATATTTTTTAAATTCATACTGCCATTGTATGTATACATTTGTGTTCCTTTGTTCAAGCTGTGTAAATATATATATATGTACAACTTCAGTTGTTTTCTATGTTGTCCAATTTCAATTTACTTGTTTTAAGCTCATATCATGTTTGACAAATTTCCCATTATTTCCTGCTCATAATTTATGTATGCAAACTGAGCAACCATAGGACCATTCTATTAGCATTTAGAACTACCACACTGGCAACCTTTTCTGCGGCATACTTGATTGAATGGTATTATTTAACACAAATAGGGGGTTCACATGTAATAATAAATACTACTCCTAGACTGCAAGGAGAATACATATTTGAATGTGTCTCCCTGTTGTAAATTCATTTTATTTAAAAATGTAACATGTAAGAGAGTTTCTAGGGTTTTTTTTTATTTGTCTTGATGTCAAATGTGGCTTAATGTGCTAGATTAATAAACCATAGGAGACGACAACTGAGCAGATAATCAGTTCAGTCCAAAGTAGTACAGTTCACGAAGTGTATGTCATGGAATATTTTGAATGTCCTTAAGCTGCACTCTAATTCTTCTTAGATTATAATAGGTGAGACAGAGCTTTTAAACTCATCTTCTTTTGTGGTGGTGGTGGTTTGGGATCATTCCTGATCTTCTTTGTGGTTCATGAATTTGTATTTTTTTTAAATCTGGGTTTTGAAGCTTTCTTGGCTGTGCTGGAGAAGCATGAGATCCAAACCTTGAATGCGGATCAGAGAGGAAAAGGAAGGAAAAGCTCTTTATTTTCTTCTTTCCTAAAGGGTGGGGTTTTGCTCGGAGTAAGTGGCCCCCTTTTTGTGAGCCTGCCAGGTGGCAGGGGAGGATCAGCATTGCTGAAAGGGGTAAATTGCGCCTTGACTCTTACGATCTTGAGGTCATATTGAACATCACCCATTCGAAATGCAGGTGGATAAAAAGCAGTGTGTGTCTAGTTTAAAAGCATGTTTTGGAGGTGGGGGGTATAGATCCGGGCACAAAGGTGGACTGTGGGAAACCCAGACACCCCCCCAGCCTGCTGTGCCTCCCGGAGCCTGCGTGGAAAGCCAGCAGCGCGGACCCAGCGGCTGGAGGCAGAGCCTAGCAGGGAGGCCATTCGAATTTCCTGGGCTCCTGCCTCCAGCCACTGGGTCCATCCATGCTGCTGGCTTTCCAGCCAGGCTCTGCCTCCCAGAGGGCCCCAGAAGGCAGAGCCTGGCTGGCAAGCCACCGGCAGGAGTCAGGAGCCCGGGAAACTCGAATGGCCTCCCTGCCAGGCTCTTTTTTATAATGGCTGCCACTATGTCCCCATGGCCCAGCTGATGTCTCCTTGTGGACCATCACCGGGCTGCGGACCAGGGTTGGGGACCCTTGCATTAAGTGACTTCTAGATAGTTCAGCTATGGTCTTGTCCTGGTTAGAGACACTCTTCGGTATTCATCCATTCAGCAAGGTGTGTTGCTTTCGTTCTCCATAGGTTTAGTCTAAGTTGTTTTTGTTCTCCATAGGTTTAGTCTAACATCTTCTGATTTAATATTTAGAGCTTGAGATGCGTGCAGGAAACTTCCTTGGTTTTAGCCTTTGTCTAGGGTTGTTGGTGTCCATGAAGTGGATGGGCTTGGTGCTATATTGCCTTATTTTTTTCTGTATTTGCTAGCACCTCTCAGTGTATTTCTGAAGGGCCATGCTAACCAAATAATACTGTACATTTTTTTTTGGTGGGGAATAGGTTTCAGGTAGCCAATAATAATCCTGCATGCTTCTTTAAGAGCTACATCCACTTGTTTGGCACGTGCTGATTTATACTACCACTTCCGCAAGTGAAGGATTGGCCAGCTGCATGGCATTGTCCAGGGGACACTCAAGTGTACTCAGCAATGCTTTTCTGCTTTTCAGGAAGGCTCCTTCTATGTCCCTCTTTTCCCCACTGAAAGGGTAATAGAATATTGTGGACTTAATATTATGCCATTTAGGGATGGTGGGTTTTTTTTAATGTATAGTTCATAGACTCATAGAAAAGTGAAGTTGGAAAGGGCCCTACAAGGCCATCGAATCCAACCCCCTACTCAATGCCGAAAACTCAATGTACTTTTCACTTGCCTCGTATAAGGTTCTCAGGGAGTGATCATTCCTGTGAATTCTCTTTACAGTGCTTAACCATTCTTGTCAGTTGCATAGTAAAGATGTAATATTGAAGACTGGGCTCCACACTTCCAAACTTGTCTCGCCATGTTTCAATCTGTATGGCTCCTAGGTTTGCTGGGAACAGGGAAAACAAAAAAAGAGGGTTCCCATTTTGGAAATTCAAGCCCCTTGTAACTTGTCAGTAGAGATGCAGAGTGTTTATTTCATTATACTCTTCTGAATGCCCGTAGAACAAAGAACACAGGGAATTTATAGACGCTTGTTTGAAGGAAAATATTTAGTAATAGTTATGTTTTATGTATATTTGCTACAATTCTCTAATAAAAAAATCTGACAACATTCAGAAAAGGCCTAAGTACAGTGTAGATATGCAGATTAATATTCTGTAGGCCTTTAAGGGCACTAGTGCTGTCCTTAAATTTATGTATTCAGTTATGTTATTTTGTTTATATGTATTTGTGGCACTTCCATATAGTAAAAGTAAGGAACTGTTTTAGGGTACAAGAGGTGCAGGAGTGGGGATCAAAATATTCTACTTACCATTGCTGGGTTAGATTACTCACTTAAATTAAAATGTGTTCTGTATATTGTTTTGGGAACTAATGTCATGGACAGCCAGTTTACCATGTTAAAACAAATCCATTGTTGGTCCTGTATAATTCCATTGATATTATAGAATGATAGGGTCTGTATTCTTCTGATTTTATACTGTGAGTGCTTTTGGAAAATAGGAATGAAGTATCACCTGAAGTGAACACTTGTCTATGAATGCTGTCCTTTGATAGGCGTGCCACAAAATTCATAGTGGTTTTTGTTTGCTACAAATGAGTGAAGCTACACTTCTGGATGTAGAAACTTAGAGTAACCCCTGTATAATTCCAAGGACTATTGCTTTAAACATGGAGGATAGGATTTAGAAGTCAGCCAAGCATTTTGTCCTCCTCACATTTAGTCTGTGTATCTGAATGAGTGCCAGTTTGCACAGATTGTGTGTCAGTTTAAATACAACAAACAGGCATCAGTCTGCTTGAAATCATTCCACCAAAGACTTCTAAAAACTTTAGGTAGTCTGCAAACAGTAATGGTTGTTACACATTAAGTTGCTTTGTAGAATTATAAAACAGCTTTTCGCATGCTTTCAAATAAAATGTTGTCATCCACTAATGAATGAGATACCATCTGTAATAATTAAGGTTACTCTATTTGTTTTTCCCCTGCAGCAAAACTTCTGAAGGTTTGGAGAAGAGAGTAAGAAAACTACCAAGGAGGGCTACAGCAGCATTGTAAGTACTGCAAGGGAAAGAGAATGTGAATGTAAAATGTTATAAGGAACCAGTCCACATATATTTGATTTAAAAAATTACTTGTATGAAAAAACTGGATGGAGCAGAAGGGGCAAGATACAGTTGCAGTCTTCTTACTTTACAGACATTGCTTCATTCGTGTGAAATTTAAAGCGTTCCCTTTGCTTGATAATCAGGAATTCACCAATATCACAGAAAAATATGTTTTTCTCTAACAAAGATTGATCTACTTTATATACATTTGTTTATTTAAAACTGCCAGAATTTCGAAAATCGTTGTGGTTTTGTAGGGTTGTCATTTGTTTTAGTGACTTATCGTTTGGGTTATTTTGCAGAATTATTTATTTGCTGATTTATTTATGTATTTCATTATTTATTTATTTGATTATTTAGTAAATTATTTATCTGATGAATTATTAATTCATCTTCATGACAAGGTTTAAATTATTTATAACTTAATTTTGATTTTATTGCTTTTCGACGCTGCATTGTTACTGACTAGTTTTTTTTTTTCATCCCCTTACTTGCTTCTTGAAAATCGAAGTATTAGCTTTGAGGCAAGTTTATATTCATCACAGGACCCCTGTATATGTGTTTTTTCAGCATATGAAATACTTTTCCTTGTAGGTACACATTGTGCAAAGCTTTTTTGTAACATGACTTATCTGTTCACACTTTTAGTCATGATGTTTGATAACTATACAAAGTAAGTGTTTAACCTTTATAAAGAAAATGAAGACATTGCTCAAGTAGAAGTTATCTACTTTGCCATATATACTTCTGATCAGTTGGCTCCAGAGCACCATTGGAGAGGTGTACTTCCTGTGATTGAGTAGGTGTCTCCCAATTCACCTCATTATTTATACAGTGGTGCCTCACTAGATGATTACTTAGCATAACAATGAATTCACTTTACGATGAGGTTTTCAGAGCGATCTTGCGCTTCGTATAACGATGTTTCCTATGGGCAATTTTCGCTTTACGATGTTAGGGACTGTACCCGGGAACGTGTGTGGTTCGGGTGCGTCTTTATCTCTTCTTTGCAGAGTACAGCAGAGTACGGCGCAGATAAACGACCACAATGCTGCTTTTTCTCGGTGGTGTATTTACAAATAATTTACAGTATTTACAGGACATACATACAGCTTTGTATCATCAACAGCATCAGCATACAGTGTTCAAACCGACAGAGTTACACGCAGAAATTGAGTAATAGAGGAGAGAGTGAACAGTGTTCTCTGACTACTTTTATACATAAGTCCAGCCTAGTCTGTCCAATCATAAAGTGGTGATCTCATCTACTCAGGTGTGTTCATCAAGTATTGCAGTGCAGTTGCATCAGCCAGGTCTAGAGGAAGTGATGTCATCTGTCTTGTTCTGTGCACACACACACACATATATATCAATTTTCAGGCAATGAAAAATATACCTTATACAGTGGTGCCTCCCAAGACGGTTAAATTTTAGGTCCCTGTTTTTCGCTTTATGATGTTTTTGACAGCTTGGTCTTGCTTCGCTAGACAGGTCTTTTAATGGTCGCTGTTTCGTTAGACGGCTGTCTTCACTTGGGAAACGCATTTCGCTTAATGATGTTTCCTATGGCGATTTTTGCTTTACGATGACAGTCCGGTCCCATTGGAACGGATTATCAGGTTTTCAATGCATTTCAATGGGAAAATGTGTTTCGCAAGACGATGTTTCTGCTTAATAGCGATTTTCGCAGAACAAATTAACATTGTCTTGTGAGGCACCACTGTATAAATATTCTTTCCCCCATTATCCAATAGTTGAAGTGTATGTTGGCTGACATTTCAAAATAACTTTAAAAACATAGATCAGCTGCTAGATCAGTCTGTGCTTCACAGAAGTCAGCTTTGTGGATCCTTATCTGTGCCACAGATCATTATAAATACAGTATCATTTCAGTTGTTGACTATAGCATCACTTCTGTTTGTTAAGTCTCTCCTGCCTCTAATATGCCTTGCTTCATGTGCTATATTGGGGACATGCTATGTTTCTTATTTGTGTACTTATTTAACATGCTTCCCTACTCCCTTTCAATGCAAAGCCTTTCTGTGGCCCAATCATCTCTTGAATCATGATTGGCCCACAGAAAAATAACCTAATTGTATAAACAACAGCAGTAGTAGTTTAAATCCCAAGTTTCCTGGGAACATGGGAAAATGGTAGAAATGAGTGATATCTGTACATTTTATCAGCCCCAGTCTACTCACTCTGGTGGTTTCATGTGAATGAAAAGCTTAGGTACGGAATGGAACTTTGAGGTACCCAAAGACCTAGTGGCCATGAGATGGAACTGAAATCCTTTAGAACTGTTTTCTGAGTTCATCTGTCTATGAGAGACAGAAGCCACCATATCACAGTGCCTTCCAGAAACCTTAACACTGTTCCCCACCCCCTCGGTGCAATCTGTTGTCTGTGTACAGTGTGAAAGTCTACTATGCCCATAATGGGTTTTGGCAGTAATTACATAATGCCATCACCTCCCACATTCAGCCCTCCTGACCATTAGGCACATGGAGTTTCCTCACTGGTATACCATAGTAATATTAATTGTTAATCATACTTAGCTGGTGACACACAAAGATGGTGGCAGGCTCTCCAACTTAACAGATGGACATCCAGCTCCTAAGCTGTCCTCATGTATAGGTTGCTTCTCCTTCAGGTTTGCAGAAGATCTGCTTACAAGCAGGCATTGGATGAAGGAAGAGGCACAATCCTGTTGAGGTGCAAGGTCCAGATAAATAAAAGCTGGCATAAAAATGGAAGAAAATAAGACAATGGAGAGAAGGATAAAGGGGACAATGAAAGATTAAATGCAGATTGTCTGAGTGCTCAGAATTTCAACAATAGAGAAAATGGGTGGCAATTGACGTCTAAGGGTATCTTGAATTCAATGGAGTTCAGTGAGGAGAGAGATTGGGTTGTTTGGCAAAGATGTTAAACTGAAACAGATCACCATTTTTGTCATGAAAGGGATATTAATAGTTTGGAATTGTTTGTGTATACACACATTATTGCTGTGGCTTCAGCAATAGTAAAAGTTTTATAGTTAACTTTTATCTTCTAATTTATTTTTTTTATTTAGTGAGTCTGCTTATATTTTAGTCTGGATATTTTTCTTTAAAAACAGTGCCTTCTGCAAACATTGAGCAGTATACTAATGAGTGTAAAGCTGTAGTTGCAGTAATTGTACTAGGTGTAGAACATGGCCTTTATATTATGCTTAGTACTTGAAATGAATTACAGTACTATAGAATTTAAGATTTAACATGGCATTGGAAAGGATGCATTGTACATTTCAAGTTGTTGCTATTGAAATACGGTAGAAATGATCTCTGCAGATAGGTTTCATTGTAGAACTTAAATTATGCATGTGTATATCTAAATTCCTTATTTTGAAATATTGAATGTATGAATATTTAATTGGTATCTTGCTTTAGTATCTTCATATTCTTGCCTTAAAGGAAGCTGTTTGTTTTGATTTATATACATGGATAAAAGCTTACATATGGTCTCTATGAATGGCTTTTTGCTCTCCTATAGTAGGTGAACATTTTCACATAATGATTTTTTCCATTTATATTTTCTGAACTAATGTAAACCATGGACACACCTTTTTGGACACTTCTCATTGTTTTTGCCTTCATTTATTTGTAACAAAATATTTGTAAGAAAAACTTACAAAGGTTTGGAAACATTGTAACATTTAGCAATAGTAAGAGTTTTCCAGTTCATGTCAAAGGATATGCATATTAACACATATCCCCTTTTTTAATTTTAAGCTTTTAATCCAAAGTCAAAATTCTCTGCACTAAAATTTTTCTGCATTATTGAAAAAAAAATTTTAAAGGCCTGTAGAGCATTGTTGTTAAACACTGTTAGTTCCTTCTGTCGCTTGTACTAGTATTAAATGCTTCCTGAACTATATAATACAGTAGTTACAGAGGTAATGTAAGACACTATGCATTGGCCCTGAGAGAAGCTACTTTCTAATTATGACAACTGAAAGCACAGCCAAAGATCATATTAAGCTAGAGAATTCTTTCACACCCCATTCATTTACCAGACAGTAGCTGTGGGATCCTCTATACTGTACTGTATTATTTTTAGGAAAGAAAATAATTCTTTCTCAGTGGCAGAAATCCTGTTGGAGTACGTTTATGCCATACAACGTAGATCATATCAGTGTCTGGGAATGGACATAATTAATTTAATTGAATTTAAAAGTTTCTAGGTTAAAGACAGAAAAATTTAGTTGCATCTTGGAGTTCATTAGTGACAGTTATACGGTTTTCTAAAACAGATAAATAAGCACTTCACTATTTTGTACAATTTCAGCGAAATTATCTTTCTTCCTTTTGTATGTGTTAGATTTCTTTGTACAAAGCACCTAGGTAGCTTCCTCTGAAGCTAGCACAGTGTAGGAACTAGGGCATAGAGAGAGTTCAGTGACTTCAAAAATCACATGGCAGCTCTATGGCAAAACCGCCTCCTGGATGACATTGGCTCCCTGTACATTACAATTACATGTGCATTTTCTAAATGTAAACTATTGTTTTGCAAACTGTTATTCATGAAAGTTCAAGAACCTAAAAAGTACAGTAAATAACTATGTAAAGAGGGGAAACATCTGCATTTTTCCACTTTTAAAAATTGATTTCACCATCTCTTATTGATAGATGCTGTAGGTAGTCTCTTGTTTGTGTCTATTTGTGTATGTCTTTCATTTATTTCTGTTTGCGGAAAAGATAAATGCCCCTGAAAGATCTGATGAGAAGAATCTCAAGGTTGTTTTATGTCTCATGGATGGAATCTTCCTCAAACATAGAAGGGAACCTTTGGCTCCAAATCCACAGTCAGTATTTTAATAGACTGTAAGATGCAAAAGATGACTAGTGTAGAAGTGAGAAGCATCATCATCATAAAATAAAGCTAAAGGAACTGGGTAGTCATTT